ACTACTCTAAGTACCAGTGACAGGTTTGTGTTTTATCTTAATACCTTTTTGGGGGATTTTCCCCCACATTCACATGTGTCTTTCCCATCAGGTTTAAACTCAAATGTGAAGTTTTTTAAGGTCAGATTAGCATTTCCTGGCTTCAATATTCTTCATACAACCTTTATAAGTCTTTGTTTCTTCTATGTGCCACTTATATTATTTGCCTAAGATTTTCTTTGAACTCTTTTTCTTTTTCTTCAAAATATCGGGCTGGGCATAGTGTCTCATGACTGCAATTGCAGCACTTTGGGAGGCCAAGATGGGTGGATCACCTGAGGTCAGGAGTTCAAAATCAGCCTGGCCAACATGGTAAAACCCTGTCTCTATTAAGCATAAGATAATTAGCCGGGTGTTGTTGTGGGCACCTGTAATCCCAGCTCCTCAGGAGGCTGAGGCAGGAGAATTGCTTGAACCTTGGAGGAAGAGGTTGCAGTAAGCTGAGATGATGCCACTGCACTCTAGCCTGGGTGACAGAGTGAGATTCTGTCATAAGTAAATAAATAAACAAATAAATAAAAATAAAACAAAATAGGCCGGGTGTGGTGGCTCAAGCCTGTAATCCCAGCACTTTGGGAGGCCGAGGCGGGTGGATCACGAGGTCAAGAGATCAAGACCATCCTGGTCAACATGGTGACACCCCGTCTCTACTAAAGATGCAAAAAATTAGCTGGGCATGGTGGCACGTGCCTGTAATCCCAGCTACTCAGAAGGCTGAGGCAGGAGAATTGCCTGAACCCAGGAGGCGGAGGTTGCGGTGAGCCGAGATCGCGCCATTGCACTCCAGCCTGGGTAACAAGAGCGAAACTCCGTCTCAAAATAAATAAATAAATAAATAAAAATAAAAATAAATAAATAAAATTTTTTAAATAAAAGAAAATATCATTATCACAAATTGAAAATCAATGCTGCTTGTCAAAATCATGGTAAAATTAAAACAGTGAAAATAAATCAATTTGATTAAATGCTACAAAGATACCATGACCTATTGAAGACTGACCCACAGGCCTGCTCTCTTTAAAAATAAGCAATGTTAGAGAGGTGTTTTTGTTTGTTTGTTTGTTTTTTAACAGCAGGTAGAGTGAAACTTCAGAGAGGTTTTAGAACCCACATAAGCTGAGCTGTTCTCCTTGATATAATAAGAAAAACTGACACAGAAATGAAAAGAGAGTGATTTCTTTCCTATGTGATTCCACTTCGTTCAGTGATTTGCCTGCGTACCACATAAAAGCACCTCATACTCTACACTAGGATACACGGGATTGGATCATCTCCAAAGTTTCTTTCAGTTTGCATCTTTGACGTTCCAAATATTTTTTCTTCAAAGTATTTTTGTATTTCCTCTGTCAGTTCTCACTCGTGGAAACTGTCTTTGACCTATACCACATGTGCAAACGACTCCTTTCTAGCAGTGACCGCCTGCACTCCTGCACTGTTAGTGCTGAACGTCACTGTGGAAAAACTTGGAAATTTTATATAGGAATCAGAAAAGTGGGAAAAACTGTGAAAAGCAGGAAGTAAGTAGGAGACAATGGCTCAGACAAAAAGCATCCTGCATCTTTGACCTGGAACATTTTTATCTTTTCCCCAACATTTTTTCACTTTCTTATATTTCCCATTTGAGGCTTTTTGGATTAAAATAAGTGTATTCTCCTAAAAAAGCAGCTATCTCTAGGAAGATTAAGATGCCATCAGCTACCCACACTTTAGCATAAACTAATCTCATTGGCTTACTTATTTTCTTGATGCCTGAGATTGCTGACATTAAAAGAAACAGAAATAAATACTTTTGATGAGTAGTATATTTTCGGGGCCTGGGGGAGCATAAGAGGACAGAGGGTTGGTTGAGAGAGCATGAAGAGATAGAAGAGAAACAATAAAGGAATGTGAGAGAGCCCCAAAGAAAAGTTTAAGATAATTTAATATTTTCTCTCTTTCCCCTCCTTTTTACTTTATCAGCTTAATTCCTGTCCTACAGACCCAGAAGTCAGGTGAGTATGGAAAATGACAGTTAAGCTACTTCTTAAAGTCAATTTTTATAGGCTAGGACTCTCCCCACCATTAGTAAAATTGCTTCTAAGGAAAAATATATTCTGTGTCTGTGACGACCAACATATTCATTGAGTTCTGTGATACAGTATTTGGTAACCTGAGAACTATCTGTATTGATGCGGAGTACAATCGGTAACTAAAAAATGCTGTTTATCTTTCTGCTTTTGTGAATCTCCAGTGGGACAGAAAAATGCCAGGAAGATTGTTGGTACAGACATGAATTTCCTTTAGAGAATGGTTCAATTTTACATAAAGTGTTCCTGTGCCTTTTAGGTCCTGTGTTAGGTTTCCTATCTTGTTAAGTGCAATAGTTCTATTGATGACTTTCAAGCAGGTTCTAGACCAGTGCTTTTCAAACTCTCTGGGATGAAGGACCAGACTTCTTTTTCTTCTTTTTGAGACAGGATCTTGCTGTGTTTCTCAGGCTGGAGCACAGTGGCACATTCATGGTTCACTGCAGCCTCAACCTTCTGGGCTAAAGCAATCTTCCTTCCTTAGCCTCCTGAGTATCTGGAACTACAGATAAACACCATGCCCAGCTAGTGTGTGTATGTGTGTATGTGTGTGTGTGTTTGTGTGTGTGTGTGTGTGTGTGTGTGTGTGTGTGTGTATTATAGAGATGGAATCTTGCTATGTTGCCCAGGCTGATCTTGAATTCCTGGCTTCAAGCAATGCTCCTGCCTCCGCCTCCCAAAGTGCTGGGATTACAGGCATAAGCTACTGTTCCTGGCCACCTCTTTTTTTTTTTAAACTCTGTGATCTGTGGTAGTGTGGTAGAATCCTAGAATGCAGTTTACGCCACATGTGACTCAGCATACAAGTCTGAAAACTCTGGTCTCTTACCTCATTCAACAAGACAGTTTCAACCAGTCTTGAGCTTGGATGTTCTGGCAATGTCAAGTTGCTGTAAGAGTTTCTACGCACTTGTTCCTGATTTCTGGGCTAATCTTATTGCAGATAGGTGAAACGTTTATAGATCACACTTTGAATAGTGGTCTTGTAGGTGTGCTCTGAGAGTCCTTCTTATAAAATGACAAGACCCCTGCATCCCTGGGGAGTCCTTTTATTGACCTAGAGTAGATATAATCTAATGGTGTGGCCCATGGCCAAAAGTAATCTAAGAATTATTGGTCTGTAACACAGAGTTGCCAACTTACTTGGCGTACGCTTCTTGCTATTCCCATTCCTTTGAACTATACCAGAAAATTTGGAGATCTTATAGTTTTTACCAATTATTATAATATTTGTGTTACAAAAACGTAATATGTAACACAATCTACAAAGCACTTTGTCACTGCCAGACTGTTTTGCTGCAGTAACAAATGATCTCTGAAATCTCAGAGCTTGGCAATGACAAACTTTTATTTCTTATTCATGCTTTATGTCCCTTAAGGGTCAGTCAGAACCAGTTTCACTTGATCTTCATTTTAGGACGTACGATAAGGGTGTAGTGTTAGTTGAGACATGGCTGCTGATACTGGGTGAGGGAAAAGAGAAGATGGTAGCCATGTGATAGCTCTTAAAGTGCTACATAAAAATGCACATATTATTTTATCTCGTATCTCATTCACCAAAGCAAGTCACAGGACCAAGCCTGAAGTCAAGGAGGCAAGGATGAACAAGCTCCCAGAGGAAGGATCTTGGATGGAGAGGCAGCAAAGAATCCAAACCCTAGTAACACCTATTGCAATCATTCTAAAAATTTGAGTGAGAGTTGAAGAAAGAGTAGAGAGGCATTTCAGAATGTGAGAAATCTATCCCATAAACAAGGAAGATAAAATTACGTTTACTAATTTTAATACCAATTTGAGAACATTTTACTCTGATTTTAAGGCTCTTTGAGAAGAATTGGTTCTTTAAGTGCATAATTGAAAAATGTATCACTTGTGTAAGAATTACAGATGATTCATATTAAAAAGAAAACCATAATGGGTATTGATCCATCTTTCTGGAGTATATAAGGCTGACATACAAAGAAGCATGAGGTAAACACAAATGAGAATGAAGTCCCACCTGATACGAACTTAATTTGTGCCCGAGGTTTCAAAACTCTAAGGTCTTTTATTTTGATTTGAATGGTTCATTTAAAAGGTGAGGATATCACGGAAAAAGAGTGACGTATTCATGCTCTGAGACTTGTTAGAGAATTCCTCATTTGGTAAAACAGGAGAACATCTCCAACTCCCAGAGAAGAAGTAAGAATATTCTTAGTAGTCGTTAAAAATTCTTAATTCTCTATGGATGAGAACAAAATTTTCTCACATCTTTGTTCAAATAGAACCCATTTTGGTATCAAAGAATTAATAAGCCTTCTTAAGTACCTAACATACAGCCAAGGAGTAATTGGGTTCATTTGGGGTTAGGGCTCTTCAAGATCTCTTTTTATATTAAAAACACTCCAAATTTGAAATACTTTGTCAAAACTAGAAAGAAAGAACAAGGACAAATCCCCATAGCATGCAGACATGTAAAAGAAAAAAGGAAAGAGAACTCCTTGATTTGCTTCTTTTCTTTCCCTCTTTGTCAATGATTTCTTATTTTTCTTGGAACCTTACATTACTACTCTTTTAAACTCCTCTGGGGATGTCTTCTTCTACTTCTGTTTAGTGAGATGTTAACAGCACATTTTTCTAAATGCTCCTCATGTTTAAACTCAGCTCAGGGATCAATGAATAATTTTGACCTTCAAATCTTATTATTAAGAAGTACATTGAGGAAGGTGATGGCTGCCATAGATAGCGGTTTCTGTAATGAATGTGGGGAAAGTATATTGAAGACCTTCTGGAAATGATTCACCATTCTATATGCCACTAAGAACACTTAGAATTCATTGAAGGGAGTTTAAAAACATTAACAGGTGTGTGGAAGTTTATCCCAATACTCATGGGTGAGTATTTTTTTTTTTTTTCACCATGCAACAAAACCTTTATTAACATTTTGAACAGGTTCAGCTATTACTGAAACTTGTTAATTTCTAAACTTAAGTTGGGGCAAATGGCTATAATGCAGAGTATTGCCATCACTGGGCACTTCGAATGCAAGACTGAAGAATTAACAGCCACCCCTCAGACGCAGGACCAGGTGCAGGGTCGACTCTTTCTGGATGTTGTAATCAGAAAGAGTGTGGCCATCTTCCAGCTGCTTGCCTGCAAAGATGAGCCTCTGCTGGTCGGGGGGGATGCCTTCCTTATCCTGGATCTTGGCCTTCACATTTTCGATGGTGTCACTGGGCTCCACCTCCAGGGTGATGGTCTTGCCGGTCAGGGTCTTCACGAAGATCTGCATACCGCCTCTCAGACGCAGGACCAGGTGCAGGGTCGACTCTTTCTGGATGTTGTAGTCAGAAAGAGTGCGGCCATCTTCCAGCTGCTTGCCGGCAAAGATGAGCCTCTGCTGGTCGGGGGGGATGCCTTCCTTATCCTGGATCTTGGCCTTCACATTTTCGATGGTGTCACTGGGCTCCACCTCCAGGGTGATGGTCTTGCCTGTCAGGGTCTTCACGAAGATCTGCATACCGCCTCTCAGACGCAGGACCAGGTGCAGGGTCGACTCTTTCTGGATGTTGTAGTCAGAAAGAGTGTGGCCATCTTCCAGCTGCTTGCCTGCAAAGATGAGCCTCTGCTGGTCGGGAGGGATGCCTTCCTTATCTTGAACCCGCTGAGGGGTTCAAGAGCTCAGTGGAAAAAGTCACTGCAGTATCATGGAAACAGCAAGATAGAACTGGAGTCTGAAGATGTGGCTGAATTGCTGCAGTCTCATTATAAAACTTGAACTGATGAGAAGTTGCCTTTTATGGATGAGCAAAGAAAGTGGTTTCTTGAGATATAATCTACTCTTGGTAAGGATGCTGTGAGCATTGTTGAAATAACCACAAAGGATTTAGAATATGCCATAAACTTAGTTGGTAAAGCAGTGGCAAGGTTTGAGAAAACTGACTTCAATTTTGGAAGGTCTACCGAAGACAAAATGCTATCAAATAGCATCACATGCTACAGAGAAAGCTTTTTTGAAAGGAAGAGACCATCCATGTAGCAAACTTCATTGTTGTTTCATTTTAAGAAATTGCCGTAGCCACCCCAACATTCAGCAACCATCAATCTGATCTGTCAGCAGCCATCAACACTGAGGCAAGACACTCTATCACCAAATATTTACAACTTTCTGAAGACTCAAATGATCATCACATTTTTAAGCAATATTTTAAAATTTAAGATATGTACATTGCTTTTTAAGACATAATGCTATATACATATATTTTTTTGAGATGGAGTCTCACTCTGTCACCCAGACTGGAGTGCAGTAGTGCGATCTCGGCTCACTGCAACCTCTGCCTCCCGAGTTCAAGCAATTTTCCTGCTCAGCCTCCTGAGTAGTTAGGACTATAAGCGTGCACCACCACACCCGGTTAATTTTTTTAATTTTTAGTAGAGATGGAGTTTCACCATATTGGCCAGGCTGGTCTTGAACTTCTGATGTCAAGCAATTTGCATGCCCTGGTCTCCCAAAGTGTTGGGATTACAGGTGTGAGCCACCGTGCCTGGCCTAAACATAACTTTTATGTGTACTAGGAAATGAAAAAAATTCATATGAGTCACTTTATTGCAATAGTCTTTTTATTCTGGAACCAAACTTGCAATAGTGCAGCAGTGTGCTTTTTAGGATCTGGAAAGATACAACCAACACATTATTTTTGAATGTCCCATTATTGATCACTTCATGAAGATATTAAGAATAGAGTGTTTTTGAAAAATGAATTGCATAAGTGACTGGAGAAATCCTACAATGTTAGGTTTGGAAGGAATGTTAGAGGCAACTTCATCTGCCCAAACAAATGATATGATGCACCCAGGGTAACTTGTTTAGTGACAGGACTGGAACTGGAATGTAAGATCCTATGTCTGTTTGACCCTCAGTACAGGCTCTTTTTACTATGTAAGATGCCTAATTTTTTCTTGTCTCTCTACTTCCAACCTGTTTTCAGAGATTGCAGCCACATAAACTCTATTAATAATCTCTCCATCAATAACATGTGGATAATGCTATTTAGTTGTCTACAAAGAGTTTGGTGACACATTTTAAATGAACTGAGAATAACTGAAGACCATTAGATGGAAGGCAATCTCATGCTAGTTATGAATTAAATATAAATCAATCCAAAGTCAGCAATTTATGGGCTCACCCATGTGAAAGAATAATAACTTTAGAATATGCCACAAAGGCAGGCTAAAGGCTCATCATGAATATTCTTTTTATATTTCTATTTTAGAATGAGAAATTGATTATTATTTTAGAGCTATCTACTTTGCCCTATCCACCCAGGACTCTGGAAAAAGGTATAAATTACCTAGTGAAGTGGAAAACACTAAGCACTTCTTAATTCTTAATAGTTTTGAGGAAGTAAATGGTATAAGAATAAGAAAGAGTTATTAAGGAAAAACAGAATTAAAGGCACGTGTGTGTGTGTGTGTGTGTGTGTGTGTGTGTGTGTGTGTGTGTGTATGTGTGTATAATTCTAGATTATATGAAATAAAAATTTCTTCAAATTTGTGAGATCATCTGCTTCAGGGTGCCAGTAAAGAAATGTATCACCTCCAACTATACGTTCTTTCTTGAATAATTCCCCTCCTTTTGGAATTATGAGGGAGAGAACTTAACTGTCCCAGCCTGGAACACATCAAACCCACAGACCAGAAGAAGGCAAGGTATATTCCCTGCAACAAAGGAGAGCAGCTCCTCAAAACAGAAATGGAGCTGCATTTCCTAAAATAAGAGGAGATACATGCTAGAAAGAGTGAAATAACAGGTGTTTACTAGTATCTCCTAGATTTATCCTTTCATCCTCTCTCCCATACTATCACAATGTGCTGAGAAACAGCAAGGTGTTGGGCAGAGGGACCTGGACTTGGATTTGACCTTCGGCTCTCCATAACTTTAGACAAGACATATGTAACCTTTATGGGCTTTATTTTTCTCATCTGTATAATTAGAGGACTTTAGTGTATTCTTGCAAAGATTTCTTTCTTCTGCAGATGAGTTTATCATGCACACTTAGGTGCTGTCCATGATTCTGCCAATTTACAGTGAAATTTGGTAAAGGTACTAATTTAATCTGGTTAAACAGTAAGATCCTGGTGTGGGGCAGATAAAACAAACAAACAAAAAACAGCAAGATTCTGAAGGCAGGGAGTCAAATAGCCACCCATTTTATGGTGACTAAAAGCTGTGGAACTAGGTTCTAATTCCAGCCCCATCACTAAATAAGTTATCCCAGGCGGATCACATCATATCGGTCTTGGTCCAGGAATTAAGAGGTGTAGTGCAAGGCTCATCTGTGCTTTTGTCTTTGTGGCATTCTTTTGCCCTTCTTCAGTTAACAGCACCACAATTTTCCTTTGATCAATCATCTCCTCCTATTAGTCCATTTGCTTCAGGTTGAGTTGGCCTCCTTCCCACCTCTCCCACCCACCCTGTACCCCTCATTGTTGCAGTGAGGGACTGTAGTTGTGTACACAATTCCAACCCTGGATGACTGAAGCTAAAAACAATCCTGGGATTTCAACTGAAAAAATTTTAAATTCTATTTCAACTGAGGTTTACAAACTAGTAGCATGTTATCTTGGACCTACTTGGGAAGAAGTCTTGTGAGAATAAACACAACATAGAAAAAAAATCAAACATGAGAAATGGGAAGCAATACATTTTTTAAGCATCTGAATCAAGTTGTGCCTGGAACCCAAAACTCATACCTGACTATTTCGATTTTATAAGCCAATAAATACTAACAATTTTTCTTCTTCTCCTCTTTCTCCTCCTCCTTCTTTTTCTTTTTGTTGTTGTTGTTAACTCAGTATAAATTTGGTCTTAGAGCTTGAAACTAACAGATTTATGTCCAAGTACATCTAGAATAGTGGCTCAACTCTGGCAGTCCTAGGTCATTTACCTTCTCTGAACTTCCACCCACTCACCTGGAAAATAATAGAATAAACAAATCAATTCTGCAATTCTTTAGTTCTTCATTGAACCAGCATGCTTTCTCCAAGTCCTCTTTCAATGAAATACAATTTTGTAAAGATATTCTTTGGAGATATTCCATTGATAGATGCAGGTAATTACCCTTAGAGATAAAGGTGCAGGTGCCAACACTGAGGTAAAATTTGAATCCCAGGATAATTCCAGTCTCTGCTAAGGGTTCAAGAGCTTGAACAAAATAAAATTAAGGATTCTGGCCTGTCAGAAATTTGTGAACTTCTGCTGCTCTACTCAAGCAGTATTGAATTTAGATTTGTATAAATTTGTGTTCATTCACAATCCCATATTCCCTCTTATGGCATAGCCCCCACTTTTTCTTTGAGGAACGATTTGTTTCCCAATTCATGTGGTCTTGCTAAGACTATCAGTCAAGACATCCCACCAACCTCCTTCAGCTGGTCAAGACTTTTGGGGGAATGTGAGTCGTGAGTGACACAAGGTTGCAAAAACAGCTGTAGCTGATTCCTTCTTTATTTATGGTATATTGTGAACACATTTTAAAAATATTTATTTTGAAATAATTATAGACTTACAAAACATTTACAAGAATAGGATAAAAATTCTCAAATACCTTTTACCCAGATTTCCCAAATGAAAACATTTTACTTTCTTTTCATCTCTGTTTCTTTTTTACTCTGTCTCTCTGTATCTATCTACTTATCAATTATCTATGGATTTATTTATTTACATCTATCATTCATATTCATCTACATCTACATCTATCTAGTTAGTTTTCTGAATCATTTGATAGTAAGATATAGACAAAATAACCTTTTTTTTTTTAGACAAGTTCTCACTCTATTGCCCAGGCTGGAATGCAGTGGTATGATCCTGGCTCACTGCAACCTCCATCTCCTGGGTTCAAGCAAGTCTCTTGCCTCAGCCTCCCAATAGCTGGTTTCACAGGTGCCCGCCACCACACCCAGCTAATTTTTGTACTTTTAGCAGAGATGGGGTTTCACCATGTTGTCCAGGCTGGTCTTAACTCCTGACCTCAAGTGATCTACCCATCTTGGTCTCTGAAAGTGCTGGGATTGCAGGCATAAACCACCATGCATGGTCATAAAATATACTTTTTAATTGTAAACATGTTAGTATATAGTTCCTAAAAACAAGGACATTCTCTTATATAACCACAGAAAAATTACAAAAATTAGAAAGAAACATTTATATAATATACTTATGTAATCTACAGATTATATTCAAATTTTGCCTCGTTTCAATAATACCCTTTACATAGCTGCGTCATTCTGATAGTGGTTCTTTAAAGATGCAGATTATCATTAATTCTTTCTCCCAAGATGGCTGGAGCTCCACTGATTTCTGCCCTTCATATGGCTTGATGGTTCAACATTTCTTTTGAATCTCTGCGCCACACTATGTAGAAGAGATAGTTGTGTTTGCCAAATCTGCTTATGTATGCCTATATTTCTCAGCCTCCTTATGTTTATATGGGTCCATATTGTTAGATATGGCCAAAAGCTGTAAATTAAAGTGACATGACACCCTTAAGAGTGGGCATGGATTCTCTGGCTTACACTACTTTGATAACCCTAGAATTTCAAATTGCCAAATGTAGGAGACTTGTTCTAAAGAGTTGTCATCATGACCTCAGACATTACAGAAAT